TACTGGCAGCGAGCCCTCTTCCTAACGCAATAACTGTGGATTGTATTGAGACGGTTTTATAGACGCACTTTATTAGAACAGGAGGCCGTTCGGAAATCACTATTTCTCTCACATGTGAAACAAGACTAAGTAGCCAAGCTTAATGTAAGTTTTCCTCAAGTGTTTCTTTTCTAAAACTTGTTGTAAAATAGTATTGGTTTTAGAAATGAAAAACAACCTCTGACACAACGTGCCACAGAACACACGTACACATACTTACTCGTTGTGCAGCAAATGTCCATAAGGTTGAGACATATTAAGGGCAGTCATTAATCTCTATTCTACATTACAAGATGATACTTTTTGTTGCGATCTGAGAGGAAACCAAATAAAGTAAGAATAAAATCGAAGAATGAATTGAACAATGATTAGGTAGTAAGATTCCCTACGCATAACAAGCTTATCTTGTACAGCAGGACTTATGATGTTACACTGACTTTGATATAACCGTCTGAAAGTCACTGTAGGTCCTCGAATGCCAGAGGGAACAGAGCCGATGTAGACTTTTGTCTATTTAACATCTCGCTTCTTGTTTTTTTAATGTAATCGTTCGTCATCTAAAGATTTGTTTAGTGTGGACACGAACATTGGCAGGTTCCAGTAGCCTTGCATCTCCATTTTCCTCAGCTCCACCTTTTGATGCAAGTGATGTTCCATTCTGCTAAATTAACAAAGGCAGGATCAGGAAAAGCACATTTGCTGCCAATTAACTTGTGTCGGTATCAGGTGTGGTGGCCCCATATGTTTAATCTATTTTCAGCTCTTGTTTTCATCTCCCTTAAGCCGCGTTATATACTGCAATATAAATTTGATTGGCTGAGCAGCATCACGTGACATGTTCACCAACGCGCGCCAACTGGTCGGCGTGTATCGTGTACCGTGCAACGAGTCGTGTAAAGATTAACAGTTTGACTTCCCGTTTATCTGTTGACTGTCCGGTCGGTCCAGGTCACGATCCATCGTCTGGGGGTCCGGACCCAGAACACCTGAATGTGACCCTCCTCCCTCGCCCCCCTTTTATTTGGCAGACCGGAGGGTGCATACAAAAAATAATATCTTTTGGAAACCTTTCCTTTGAAACCCTGGTGTGTTTATTCCGAAACAACACAACAAGTGTGTGTGTGTGTGGTTTATGGGGGATTTAAGCTCTAGGGCAGTAGATGTATCACTGGACAGGGGTGGTGTGTGTATGTGGTTTAGGGGGGGAAATAAAAATTTTTGAGTTAAAATGACAAAAAAAAAAGGGTGGGCCCCCCCCCCCCCCCCCCCCCAACCCCTCCCCCCGTAATGTGAGAAAACAAGGACGAGGTAGACAGATCTAATAAAGCCGGCAGTATGGTGGCAATAAGCTGAGTTAAGTAAGCTTGATTCCATCTATTAGCACTGTTTACCATCTCCTTTATTACGCTGAGATGAATTGCGGCCCTTAGCGAAAGCTGCGCTAAATCAAATAAGATTTAAATAGATTTGCTGGTAGTCGTATTTCTGCTGATGATTCTCATGAAATCCAAACAGTCACTATTGTTGGAATACATTTGGCAACGTGCATATTCCTCAACAAGCTCTTTGTACGAGGGCGTCATAAGGTGACAAAGAGGGTGTTAATGTTTTACAGCAATCTGCTGGCCGCTGGAATTTTGGTTGTAAACCAGGGGCCTGCAGTTACATTAAACATATTTCAAAGCAGCTGCTTCCGTACGAAAGATAGGCTAAACTCTCCATTACGGCACGCGACAGCTCAGAGAGCCTCGCTGCACACATCGATCTCCGTAGGCCTCTCGCTGCATGCCAGGCTCTGAATGCATCTGCCACTGTGGGAGAAAAAAAAAAGGTAGCCCCCAGGCGGCAAAGAAATGCGGACAGGAAAAAACGCGGGGAAAAGAAAAGGGTTAAGGAGGGGAAAAGGGGAGGGGGGCGAAGAGTGAAATAACAAACTCCTGAAAGAGCATAAGTTAAAGAAGGGAGAACAGAGATGGAAAAGAAGAGGAAGGATGTTTGGAATTTAAAACATGTCATCCCTGGTGACTTATACCCTTAAGGGATACTATGATCACTGCTGTGTGTGTGTGTGTGTGTGTGTGTGTCTATCACAGTTTGTTTGTTACGGCACTCCGCTGACGGTGACAGGGAGAGAGAAGAGCTTTTTTCTTTTGCAATGTTTTACTGATCCACCACCATACATTCACTTTTCTGTCTTGGTGGTGTGTTTGTTTACATATTGTACACACACAAAAGGTTGGAAAATAAAATGTGTTGAATAGTTCGTAAGTGTTTTTCTTTCTGACTGTGTTACATAGTTCCAGGTTTCAGGCCACGAGGGGAAGGAAAAGATTTTTACCTGAGACGCAATGCAGTGTTGGGAAAACAACTGCTTGATCGCACGGCCAACGGAGCAACTGTCCCCACCTGATTGAACAGTGGAACCAATATTACTGCTGTTGTATTCCTGATGTGGCTCCAGTTTGCTCCACCAGCCACAGTTATTGGAACAGCGGTCCAATGAAGCACTAGATTAAAAATAAAGTTGATTCTTTGTATTGCTCGCTGCTTCACTTTGACATTATCGAAAGTCTTTTTTTTTTTTTTTAGCAAAAAGTATAGCTTGACAGAGCTTTAAATACATTCAAACCCCCATATAGTCTTGAATTGATTTGAATGCTGCTAATGAAAAGGATGGTGGACACAATACTGATTTCATTGTGGAAATACGGCTGAATTTGATCCCATCCAGGTGCCGGCTTCTTGCTGCCTCTTAGTTCTTTAGTGCATCCTGTCCAAACAGGAGGATGGAGAGCATGTGAGAGGTGGCCATTGTGTAATCAATTTGGAGCACTCTGCTCATGGCACGGTAAAATGGGGGAATGCAAGAGTGGAATGAAAAGTGTTTTGTTCAATTTCAGCTTGCCAGGACTTACCAAACTGTTGTGTTGGTTGCCTGGTAACTGTAATACTGGACAGAAAAAGAAAAAAAAAACTCCCACCTATTTTTTCTTTGCTGCTTCTGTTCTTGCTTATATATATATATATATATATATATATATATATATATATATATATAGTAGTTGCTAAAACTATACAGCCCTTTTTTCTTTTATCGGTCTTCCGTGTCCATTTTTTTTTTGTTCCATGGCCGTCGGCTGGGAGAGATCACAGAGACACACTTGTGACGAGGAACTCTGACAGCCGGGATGAAAGGCAGGAACGAAGCGAGGTCAGACTTTGCAGAGGGAATGTTTCACAAAGCCATCAGGCTCATGTAGAAGGCGGCTTTGTGACATCCGCTTCCCCCTTTCTACGTCTGACCCTCTCCCTTGTGCCCGGTGAAACAGCATCAAGGTGGGACGTTTTTTGTGTGTGTGTGTGCGCATTAATGCGTGCGGCCTCTGGAACAGAGAAGTCGTGCGGCTTTGGTTTTTCTATTTTCTTCTTCTCCAGTTTGACCAAAGAAGTGACGCAGATATCTTGATCCGGTTAGTGCTGGCATTTATCTAAGAAGCGGTGAAAGATGGACGCTACTACTTTCTGCAACCTTTTTTATTTGGACAATCTTTTTTTTTAAGGTTTTGAACCCTTTCAACTTAAAATGATGCTCTGAATCACTCTTTTTCTCCTGCACCTTGGTGATCCACGCCATAGCACAAACCAAACATAATCATCTCCCATCAGCCACTGAAAATTGAGCGTTAGGATTCGATGGCTGTCAGATATTAACAAAAAAATATGCATGTGTGTCCAGCTGTTGGTTTCTATTTCTGGATTGCTTTTCAACACTGAATGTCAGATTGTGTGCGGTCGAGTTTGCAGCCAAAATAGGAAATAATATATGTACAGTATACAGTTATATACATATATGTTATTCACAGGGAGAGTAATTTTTTTAACATGTAATCTTAAAGAAAGCACAATATTTTTTTTTAAAACCTGCAGAGTCTCCACCTGCAGTTCCATTCTCTTTGTTCTTCCCCTCTCATTCTTTTCCTGGCACTGTCTCCCTAGAGCTGTACAGGTTTACCAGGCTCACTGGAGGCATTCCAATAGATCCATCAATTTGGCAAAGCAGTGTGTGTGAAGCATAAGAGTCATTCCCTCGGGAAAAACGCGCAAATACACCGACACGCGCACGCGCGCTAATAGACAATCGGTGTTGTTTATTTGTCTCTCTTCTGTGTTTTTACCAGCAGGACGTCTCTGAGGTGGTGCTCTGGTTGTTGGTTGTGTTGTCCGTGTTGTGCTTTCAGCCGTATTTTTCTACACGACTGTATGTCGGCCTTTACGGTTTTCACAGAGCTGTTCGTTGAACCTCCCCATATCATCATGTTCTGTGCTTCCCCTCTCTGATTACAGTGCTGTCAATCACAACCTAATAGGACCGTGTCCCAGGGTGCGCATGGACACACACACACACACACACACACAGACAGACAAATCATTACTCTCTGTTTGTCCACATATAATTGGAGCCATGCAGGCATCTGCTGAGAACGAGATAATCAACTGTAGAATGTTCATGATGTCTTTCATTTCCCACAAAAAAAAAAAAATCAAACGAAGCACATGTTGACGTTCACTAATCCACATCATGACGTCTATACTCTACACATATCCTTATGGGGCCTCACACGCTCATTAGAAAGCACCAAGCTGCCTTGAGTGATCCAAATGATGTCATGCAACTAATTAAAAGGTGCCACACTGTAAGATCTCAATTTGCCGATGAGCCAAGATGGGACATTGTCTTCCATGGTTGAGATATTCGAAGGGTTTTCAGCAGTCGCTATTGACATTGAGTATAGAGACGCGCTGTTCCTGCACGTGCGCGACACATACAGGCACACTGTTCTTCCCACAGTTCTCTAATCATCTGCTTTGTCTTCTGTCTGTTCTTTTTCCTCTCTATTTTTCTGGCGTCTGCCTCTTTTTGCTGTCCGTCCAACCCCCTCTTGTCTCCTTGGCTACTTCAGTGATGGCTTCAAAAGGCAAAGCTCGAGGTGAGTTGTGGCTGCATTTCCCTGCTACGCCTCATACTCAGCCTTACAAAAGTAACGTCTGTGTAGTTCAACAGGATTTTTTACTTTTGAAAAGAGAATTGACTGGAATTTCGGGTTGTTTCATTTTTTTTCAGTCGTACTTTAGATGGCAGTTTTTAAAGGGCAGCAGAGCATTTTTTAAAGGATTTAGTACTTGCCACCTTTAGTACAGAAAAAAACAGAACCCAACGTCGGCGATCCCCCGGTGCTTCCTCCCACTCTCGTCGGTTCGGGTTCGCTTTCGCTTCAAGGCTGGACGCGGGGGGGCGGGGAGGTGTGTGTGTGGGGGGGTACCTGGAGCTGCCCCCGCCATTCTTTCAAATGAACACGCCAAGAGACCCGCCCTCCTCTGACTCTGATTGGTTTGTTTAAGGTTAACGATAGCAGCTAGGATTACCCAATCAGGGGCCGAATAGAACGAGTCTTGACATAATTCGGGGGATTATGGGATGGGATTATCTGCATGGGATGCTGCTATTGATTCAAAACGGAATGATTCCAATTTTTTAAGGGATGGGTGGCAACCCTACTAGTAGCCTACTGGTCATTTAACATTTTATTTCACCTTTCAAAATTGCTCCATATTCAGTGTGTTGTAGTAAAAAGCTCTATCAGCTCTACGCATGTTTTCTTGTCACATGAGACCGTGGAATTCATGGGAAATCTTCAGAAAGTCTTCAGAAACGGTAGCACCACTGCAGCACTAAGCTGAGCCTGTGTTCATGCATACGCTCTTTCATGTTTGCCAGTAAATGATTTAAGCACGTGGACTCTAAAGAGCGCTCTCCGAGGTCAAAAGATGAATTATCAGGATTCAATGGTGTATTATTGCCCTTTGCCATTGCCAGACACTGGAGAGGTGGCAGCCAATCAGCATAATCCAAGTCGTCCGCATCATCAGAGGACAGAGGAAAAGGGTTTACGTGGGAAGAGATTATGTGATTTCATTCAGCCGTGTGCTTCAAACATCCCTCTTAAAACGGAGAATTCAGTCAACCACGATCATGATGTCATTCTGTTTTGTTACCGTCTATGGCTAATGAATATATAGAAGGCAAAGGTCTCGAACACGCTGCCATTCCTGAGTGAGTTAAATAAAAAGGATAAATATCAGCTTAGAGAGCAATTACAAACTTGGCTAGATGAACACATCAACTTGAGTTATCAAGAGATGCTGGAATGCGGTATTAATATAACCATTAATGTGAAAATAAATATACACAAAAAGTGTTCATTTGCAATTAATAGCCAATTGACATGAAAACACTGTGACCTGAAACACCCGCCCCATCTAATAAAATCAAAAATCAAATCCAGTCGACAGCTTAAACACTGTTGTCTCAAAGTTACTTTCTGTTTTCAGAAGAATCTATACTCTCTAATTCTCACCCAGCGGAGTTAAAACGGGAAGAGGCGCCACAACCTTCAGTTGTTTGTTGTTCGTTAGAAAAAGGAGGGCCGTTTACCAGGTAGATTCTTCATCACCGTGTGTAGCTGCCCGTTCTGTAATAACCGCGGTGGTCTTCTTTCATAAAACTGGTGCTTCTGTACAAATAAACAGTAAATCCATACTGCATTTCAAGCGCTTGAAGCAAAGTTTGTCATTTTCAAAAGGTTGGCCATTCTGCAGTGATACATTTGGTGTATTGCTCACATTCCTCTGCTTAAAATGCTGTGTGCCATTTCCCTCCTCCTCCTCGTCATCATCATCAGTAGTATCGATGGCAGACACGGCCCCAACATCACATTTTGGGACACATCCTCTATGCAGGATTCCCATGTTTTACTGCGTAATTAATGTAGATGATCCCTCCGGACCAGCTGCACGGGCAGTGTTTGACTGAAAGATCTCCGTCTCAGTCAGTTTTGATCCTCCTCTCTTTAAAAGCCTTCTGTGCTCAACTATCACGCTTTTCTATCTCACTGTGACGGTATAGGAAATCCATTGCTCTCCTAATAGGGGAACAAAGAATGTGTAGTTCACAGTCGAGCACATGTCTCCCTCCTGCTTCTTTCAACGTTATAATGAGGCTATTGGTAAGAAAACATAACAAGCGAGGTAAGAATTATGCCTATAAGTGGTGGATAAACCACCTCAAAGCGCCCGTTCCTCAGCATGTGGCCCTGAGAGAGAGAGAGATCCGAATGGGACTGAAGGAATCTGAGTGGTTAAGAGTATATATAGTACAGCCAATTACTCTGTACACCACAAACAATTAATCTCTCCTGTCACTGTAATATATATATATATATATATATATATATATATATATATATATATATATATATATATATATATATATATATATATATGTATGAAGATAAAGTCTGATCTATTGTGAGAGAGTGTGTGAGAGTGAGGGACACACAGACAGAGATACAGACACACATATAGAAAGACCTCTCTATATCTCTCTCACACTCGCGCACGCGCATGTGCGCGCGCGTGTGTGTGTGTGTGTGTGTGTACCTGAAGCGATGCACTATATTAATACTCATTGTAGCCCAGAGCCAGTGCTGTGTTGTTCAAAGTGAGTGTCAAAGTTCAAGTCTCTGGTACAAACTAATGGTTGTGTAGTAAACAAGGGTTTGTAAAGTCTGGCATTGGGAGCCCCTCCATCCCTAATCTGTAGCATCCAACTTGTGCCAAACTAGCTATTAGCAATGTGCTGATTCTCAGTCGAGTTCTATCTATCTGATTTATGGAACTTGATGTGTGGACTTTTAGACTTAGTCATGAAATATCCTCAAATGATATACTTAGCTGTAGTCCTGCAGGGCTTCGCTTTGAGACTAGATCTTCAGCGTCAACCCTGCCCAGACTCAGAGGAGCATCACAGTTTGACACACGAGCTAAATGATAGGAGCTGTTTTTAAAACATACCACTTTCTGTTCACTGAGTCTTACAGATCTCCCCAGGGGCGAGAAGCATTTCCCAAGATCTCTCTTAGATGAATAGTATCTATCAACACATCACCAGGCACTAGAGAAGCACACTGTGGCATGTTGATTTGGGGGGATTTGACAGTTTTTGGTGGCAGAGATGATTAGTCTGATTTGCCCTCACGAATGCCGCTAGTCTGCGATCATTCTGCCGTCACCCCGTATATAAAAGTCTGAAATAAAAAGGAGCTAAGCACATTTTCCCTTCAAATCAGTTTGATGAAATTAAAAAAAAAAAATAGTCAGAGCCAAATTAAAGGGATGAAGATGTGGCGGATGGACGGGGTCAAACACACACATAACTAAGGGCTCCGCTGTAAACAGTTCACTTATTTATGTGGAATACTTCCTGTACGTTCATTCTTTGATTTGGAGAAGAAAAAAAAAACTAATCCCCAATGTTCACTTTGACCCGACATACGTAGAGTAGGTGAGGCGTTGGGAATAAGAACAGCATGTTAAATGATACAGAAAAGCCCGAAATGTGTAGACGTGACAGGCGATGCGCCTTCTGCTTTCACGAAAACTAGTGAGCCAGGAAGAGTATGTACGACTGCTGATATGGCTTTGCCTTATTTAAAGAGACGAATATCTGAATGAGACTCTGAATTTGGTATTTGTGTAAATAGGATGAACTGAAAATAACATTTAGTATAAATTGCACTGCTCACTTTCAAACAGCACTTGTGACATTAGTAAGACACACACTGCATGCTGTTACAGAGACATGCATTTATACCAGCTTATCTTTACAGCATAATTTATATGCATGTTTGCCGTATGTATACTTCACATCACACAGTGTTAGAACCATGTCATCTTTGGCTTGAATGAGACAACTTTTTTTTACTTGCTCTGTGTTTTCACTTACCTGTCAAAATAGACACTCTTTACCCCTACCAGGATTAGCTCTCGGCTTCTTCTGCTGCCTTTTGCCAGCTGTACAAAAGCAGTGTATGAAGTATTTATGAAGGCCAGGTTTACCTCTTTCATAAAACCATGAGATGCCTGCCCTTGGCTCAGAAAGGAGAGTGAAATCCCAGGTCGTCCTGCACAAAGGAAGCTTGAACTCAGGCCGCTCGCATGCAGGCAACGGGCAGAGGTGTATATCGCTGCCCTTTAAATGCATGTGCCTGAATCAAGGGCAAAGATGGGCTACTGGGCAAATAATATCGGAGTCTGGAAAGCACTTCCGCCCCCTGGCTTGAAATTAGTATGTGGGCTTTTGTAAATTCTAATATATAAATACACATACAGCAACTCGTGTACATATCTGACTCCTAAACCACATGTAAAGCCTTTCTGTAACGTAGCGCCTTAGTGAATAACGTCGAGAGTAAAAAGAGAGAAACGTCTCTGTGCGTCGGCGTGCTTGTCTCTGTAGTGCTTTGTACATACAACAAAGTGATATCATGGGAGACATTTTTCCTGGATGTTTTGTCATCACCATAACACCGTCTGTTAACACCTTTCACGCCATCGATTGTGACTGGAAACACCCTCCCACAATCTCCAAAACCGGCCAGAAAGATGTCACTCTCCTCTCTGACAGCTCTCGGTTCCCACCGAGCCGTCCTCTCTCGGTCACCCCGCGCAACGCTTAAACAACACCTATTATCTCCGGGGGAGAAGTAGGTGATATTTTGTGGGGGGGTTTACGTCACCCCTGTGATGGCAGATCCAACAGCTTCCCGCTCTAATTACTGTATGTAAATAGCAACAGCACTGCCGTAGCTGGTGGAGGGTAATTAATTTCATATCTGCAGATCAGAAGTTAGTGTCCTGAGGTGGTTGTATCCCAGTGTCGAATACAAAGGTAGCCCCACCCTCTGCAGGGGTTGCATTCAATTTGCTCACAGCAGGAGTCTTATCGCTGTCAAAAGAGCGAGTTGAGATTCTAGTGTGCGTTTGTGTGCGAAACACACACGCGGAATCCAAAATTAACATACAGTTTACTCAGAAACACAAACAAAACCAAAAAAGTTTCATCCCTTCAGTTATCAGAACCAGAAACTCGTTATTTCTGAATTATTTGTGGTATAAACTTTGACATTCAGATGGTGTTTCCATAGAGATTGTTTGATTTAGTCTCGGTAAATGTATACATCATTAAATGCGAGATTGCTTTCACCTCGAAGTGAAGTCAATATAGCTATGCTCATTCCAAATAAAACCACTCTTAATGCTTTTAATTTAGTTGTTTGTCCTTCAGTATGAAAAGCATGTACAGCGGCTGGCTTGCATCTTTTTAACTTTGCTGTTTTCCAGAAATGAAAAAAGATAAATGACTTGCAGCGCTGTAACCCTCAACCTTTGTTATTTAAGAAGACAGATATATAGCTGTGTCACCCTGGTGCTTTTCATTTGCATATGAACATGCAGTTTAATTTCGATGTGAACATTCAAGGCTTATTTTTCAGCAGTGAGGGTGTGAAATGTTGATAAATCCCATTGGAGACGCAAAGCGGATTTGGGACGAACGTTGATAGAAGGTGTGAAAAAGGTCAAAGCGAAAGAGAAGGAAACAAAACTGTCTCGTTGCATGACATGTTCCTGAGAAAAAGGAAGGAGTTTGTGTGAAAATTGTCACAGTGGGAGGGAGAGTCCCACAGCGAGAGCACGGAGTGATGATGCACTTGCCTGATATGTCACCTTCTCTCCCAGGAAGTTACCAGTAACATTTTGTGTTCCAAATTATCGGCTAAAATTGGATCTCGCCCAGAAAAAGAAAAAAAAAAGAAACCTGCTCAAATTTTTTGGTTTATTTGCTTTTTCAACATTTTGATGATGCTGTAAACCAGCGAGAATGTTGGTGGGTGATTTTTCTTGCTGAAGGACGTTGTGTACGCGGGCCGATTCACACCGGCTCTTTGGCTGATCAAACCCTCGACCTTGTATGGTCTCGCCAATCACCGGCGCCACCCTGCTGCCGGACCCTCTGACAATCACTCGGGTAACCAGCTAAGTGTCCACCGGCCACCTGCTTGACCGAAAAGACTCGAACCCGACGTCCGCATCTTGATGACGGTGCTCTTTGAGCTCTGATCGACTTGAGGTTGCCTTTAACTTGATTACTGTAACTTGAAATGTTCCTTTGTTTATCAGCTTTTCACGTGATGGTACCAACACCATGGATGTGCTAATTCTCAGGATTTTCTACCATCGACTTGTTTACAACTTGCCAGATTGTCCCACCACTTTGTTTGAGGCTTCATTGTAACAACACCAGCGTTTGCAGATATCAGAGATCTCTGTGATGGTTTCACATGCAATAGAAATGATGGCACCGTGAAAACGGGGACTGATTCCAATTGAAAATCAAACACAGAGCGATGAAATCCAGAGTCTGCATTCACAGAGTATTTATGTTCCTGGGCTTCAAAGGTTAATCAGAACTTTAGACTGCATCTATCCGGTTTGTAATCCTGTATTCCAAGCCCATGCATCATAGTTCTACAGCTCAGTTGAGCTCCTGTCCTGGAATAAAGGTCAGTAGCTCCAGGCTGTCCGTCTGTCTCACTGCATCTCCCTCTCTTTCCCTGCTTCTCGAATGCCTAAATAAGAAAGGTTAGTAGACTCGGCTGCTCTCGCTTGAAAGGTCACGTCGGAGACTGGACAGGAAGCATCCCGGATACTCTTATCCGTATTATTTGTTCGGTCGTTTGCTTTGGCAACAGATACCGTCCGTCTCAATGTACCACCACGTGATGGGAATGTCTCTGCTGACAGCACAATCATCTGCTTTTGGCAGAGCAGTAATAGTTTAGTTTGGAGACACTACTTTGTGTGTAGTGGGAGGCATAAGTCCAAATAATTTTGGGGAAGAGTGGCCGGCAGTCTTGGTTATTAGCGCCGTGCCTACAGTACTGGAGGTTACTGAATGGTCCCATTAACTCCTAAGACTCAGCTCATCTCGGGAGGCAGCTGTGTGAAGGGTAGAGTGTGTGAATCTCGAGGAAATAATAATTAGCTGCTTGTTTAGAGGCAGCTGCAACCCGCGTTGCAATAGTCACAAAATCCATACTTGCTTTGCTTTGTGGTATGGGGGACACACGTATATGTTCCAACTTTAGATGAATTAAGCAAAGCTAATTTCATTATGTCATTACTTCATAATGTCATGCACTTGAGGACGTTGTTGACCTGGCTTAGCCTTGGCATGTCAGTCAAAGCGGAGGGCAATTAAACTGTCCTCACTCTCTGTGAGCGATATATAGCCGTACTGAGCACAAGAAGGGAGGTAGGATCGAGATACATCTGGAAAAAAAAAAAGGACGGAGAGAATAAGAAAATGAGAGGCAAAAGAAAAAATGGAAATGCCACCCTTCAGGGATCGACCAGAGGAGGAAACGTGGCTGAGAGAGAGAGAGAGGACCTGAGAGAATGGAATTGAGTGGATGTATGTGAACTGGAAAAGAGAGTGCAAGAAGCAGAAAGTAGGCGAAAGCTTGGAGGTGAAGTGAGCGAAGGACCTAAATTTAGACATGGAAATCAGGAGAGAACAGCTGCCTCTTTCCCTCAGGAGATACATTTAAATCAGGTCTGGGTGGCCAGTGGGGAGAATGGAAGAACCGACTCCATTGGCCAATTAGGCCCACAGAAGACTACACTGTTCTAATATAACCATCATCGGGGCCCCGTTGGCCCTCTCAGTCCCACCGGACGTGTTTGACCAGACACCAACCAAGGACTTAGTCAGAGGGAATCCCGGAATATTCTAACTGTAAAGGCATTGGTAGAAGTAGAGAAGAAAAAAGGGAAAGATAGGTAGAAAGAAACGTTGATGTATGATGTAATATGTAGCCTCCATTCTAATAAGTAAACAGGCAGGGTCAGTACTGTGTGTAATATATTTATGAATTCCTATCTCTTTTTTGCAGTGAAATGTATTATGTCTTTATTGTGGAAACATCTATACAAAGGAGCACATTAAAATTCTCTAAATATTCGGGTTTTTTTGTTTGTCAAATGCATATAGTTCAAAGAATAAAATCCGATTATATATTCATGGATGGGTTGACAATATAACAAGCATTTCGCAAACGTTACTCTATCCTCAATTACATTTTGCATGGACGCATCCACTGCAGTAATGAATTAGAATATTACACTACATCATATTGTGCAGACCCTCTGGCAAAAATCATCATTGCCACCATTCGGCATATCAGTTATCCACTGATTTCCCTTTGTGGCCAGCACAGAATATACAATTTGTTTCACACTGGGCTGTATGTTATCCAACTGCATGAGTGAGAAAAATGAGGAAAAATGTGATTTGAAAAGAGGAAGTAATAAATAGAGCGACGGCTGGCGCAGGAGAACGGTAAATCGTTGGCAGATCATGCGTCATGCAAAACTTTCATGAATAAAACATTCCTATCCTTGCATCGCTTGGATTCCCCCCCCCGTTTCCCTGCTCTTCCCTCTCTATCTCTCACACGCATGATTAACCTCAGGAGGCCTTAATCAACACTGGAAATGACCCGTGCACCTTGACTTACCTCTCTCTGCATCCTCTCCCCTCCTTCACCTCACCCCTTCTCCCCTCTTAACATGTCCTTCACGGCAGGTCTGTCGGTAAGGGGGAGGAGGGTTGCCTCACCCGCTAACCCTGCAGACAAGCAGAGTTTGATGGTTTGTTTATCTCACCTGTGCAGTCATTAACAGAAGTGGGGAAGAAAAAACATTGCCAGCTTAATGAGATCTAATACACAAACCAAGTATCAAACAGAGGACTGTCATAAAAACTCAACTCCAAATATTTCTTACTTATTTATTTCAATGAATGTGTGTTTTGTTCAGCTTCATGATCCTTTCCCGGAGGGTTTTTTTGGGGGGGGGGGTGTATTAAGATGGGAGAGTTAGCTGGGGATGAATAATCGTCCTTACCTAAGCCTTTAGTCACACAGTCTTTAAAACCTGTCCCTGGGGAATAGGGACAGGGATAGATATATAGTTATTATTATGTACTTGCTCACAGCCTCCCTCACACGCACACTTACACACCCACCAAAGCATGTGCAGGCACGCACAACAGTGAGCTGTCCAGGGTTCTGAAAGCTGGCAGCTATTGACAAACTACTGGCAGTAGCGACCTGTCCGTGGTGCTGAAAACTATCTCCACATGTACTACTCACATGCAATAATAATAACCCTCGTTTCTCTCTTCAGTAGCGGGTGTTGCACACACAAGCATCCACACATGCACACTCAAGTCTACTAAAAATGTTATTTTTAATTGGTCTCCCCTGTGTAAGCTCAAGTTTCAGGGTTGGTACCGCAGGCTAAATGCCCCCTTTGTGTTCCATGTTAGGGTCCAAATTAGCACACAGTAGTGACTGGCTATCCTCGCTTTTTAATTAGGGTGTTAAACCTTTTCCGAAGCCGCAAACCAGATTTCCTCTCTTTGTCCTTCAGAGTGAGCTGTACACTTCCATGGAAAGACAAGTCCTTTCTTCTCTATTTTATGAACATCTTCATGAACCGAAAAAAAAAATCACATTTCTTTCTCGCTCATCATTGTTCATTTATTATATGATCATCTGACATGCATCAAGCCAATTGAATCGAGAAAGTAACCTTACAAATCGAGCAGTCAAACACATACCATCTCTCTAACTCTTGTATATTTCTATCTCCTCCTTTATTGGTGCATCCTCGTCTCTTTTTCACACATTTCCCTTGTGGATTATGTTACAGGCATCAGCGGTCAGTACCCACTGGTTCAGAATGTGACGGTGACAGAGGGCGGGACGGCGAACATGACTTGTCGTGTGGAGTATAATGACAACACCTCCCTCCAGTGGTCAAACCCAGCACAGCAGACCCTCTTTTTTGGGGACAAGAAAGGTGAGTTTTGTATATTGACAGACAGCAGCTGCTGCACAACAGATGCAGTCTTATAGAATAGTCCCTGTGTTGGGATTATGGGGGTTGAAAAAGTCAGGAAACACACAAAACAGTGGGATGCTTTTAGGCAGGAAAGCAACCTGAATAACCCTTTGTGTTCCTGTGTGTTTGTCGGTTGAACAAGCTGTTGTTTTTGTTGTGTCAAACCATCTTTAACATATTCCATATGTCTGTGTTTTCCTGTTGATCCTCTGTTTTCACAGAGAGTGCATTGACAGTACATATAAAAAGATACGTTCCTTTTGTCTTGGGAAAGGATTGTATGCAGCTGTTCCGATTTTTTTTTCATTCCATCCATTTATCTCATATACACCCGTCTGATAAGGAAAACAAATATTTGACTATTCGACTTGTTTTGCTGCATTACCTGCCATGAAACATTTTCAGTAGTTATGATTTCTTTGTGTGCAGTCACTTTTTAGTCTGTTTATAATGTACACTGGAAAATTAGAAACGGTTGAACAATTTGGTGTAATTGTAATTTGTTTGGAATCTAAGGCTAATACACTCAATACTTGCGCAATATACTGTTGCGCAAATCAAATAGTAACATCAGAAACAGCCTCATCCCTCTCAAAGTCAACCATCCATCCCGCAGTGCAGGTACCCTTCACTTCAACCCTGCAGTCCTTAGCTCGTGCTGCCTCCAGCACACAAAAACTCTGCTGAAAGAAATTAGTCACATGGCATCGTGCCAGTTCCAGGTTTTATCCCGACGCAGTCAAGAGTATTTTTCTTTGTGGCTTCGTGCCCTCCACGGGCCTCTTTCTCCTTCTGCTCCCAATGTAAACCAGTATTTCCTCAGCTAAGAGTAGGTTGGGCCCACAGCTTAGAGGGTCACTATACCCACCCAGAACCCGGTGCTACGGTACGGATATGACATTCTGTTTTCAGAGGGCTAGCTGGTGGGTCGTGGCAAAGCTGACGGAACTGATTAGGGCTGTCACAATAACTACTTTTTGATGTGCAATTATTGCAGCAAAATTAATGATGAACGATATTATTGTAATATTCAGACCGTTTAGTAACACTGATTAAATAATAACGATATAACAATGGAGCAGAATAATTGAAGTATGCACTTTTGAAGAACAACGAACATTATTCTTCAGAATATTTAGACATTACAATTGGAATAGGAAAGAATATATCCGAAATAAATAAAACCAGTGCAATGGACACAGAGCGGAGCGAAGCATCGGGCTTGGTTCGATGCGGTAGGGTTTGACAAAACGTGTTCCCCTGGAAAGGCATCCCAACTGTCTGTAGACGTCCCGAAAAAGAACGCTTCATAACGTAGTGGTTTTCACGCATTCCCTTCCCCTGTCGATGATCAGCTGAAATTTTGGTGATGTTTATTTATATGTAAAATAAATACAATATATTGCATTTGCATTTATTGTGCGGTAAATCGATATATCGATTATCGCGAGAGGCCTATTCCCGTTGCCCCACTCGGACACCGGGATCCACGAGAAGACCACACGCGCCACTTCACAAACACATAACAAGGGAGGTGAAGGCCAGGACTGTGACGTGGTTAACACAGCCCTGTGTCAATACAAATATATCACAGTCTGTTTGTGGAGCTCAGTCGTTGCAGAAGAGTGGGGGACGTGGATTGAACTTTACCAAACCCTCCATTCTGCTCGTGATAAGATTAGGGGCGCCTTGAAGTGCCTTATTGGGCATCTCTTCTTCCATCTGCCATCTTTCACATTGAACACCGAGTGAGTTCGGTTTTGGATGCATCGGATAGATACAAACAGATGAAAGTGCACAGAGGAGCCCAGCATGCTGCCGCCCCGGATATCTGCCATCACTGAAACATGGATGAGGATAAAGGTCTCCTGGAGGGCGCTCAGATGCCCTAAGGAGACCCCACTCCTCATGCAGCGTAGGCTAGTCAGCCAGATTGATGCCGTTTTGACAGCCATGTCACGAGAGCACCCTCCGTAATGAAGAAACGGCTACTTTCTTACGTTTTATGTTACACATACGAGAGACTTCAGCACACTGGTCTGCCTCGTTCTGGTGAGGCGGCGTTAAGAAAAAAACGGGATCTGGGGATGCTCTTCTCTAATGGAAAAGTAGGATGTCAGAGGGCACAGGTCACACACTCCTCGCCGATGTCTGGAGGAGCTCATTTTGAAAGATTGCTAGAAAGGCCACAACATGTTTCTCCTTTCTAAAAGCGTTTCATTAAATCGCCTACAAAAATGATTATCTTCCTCCGCAGTCGTCACGGCAGGATGAAACGGCTACAACATACGTCTCAGATAAAAAGTTTCTATAAGAGTTTGAAATTGCATAGGTTTTGAGCCTTTGCTCCACCCTCCAGCACTGAAAAGTGGAGCGTCTGCCGACATAATATGTCAAGCAGAAGGGTATCGAGCGCCTTGGATACTTCGCACGACCATAGGGGGGCCATTCACGTCCAGTAGCCAGTGCCGAAACCACATGACGGTGTCAGAATCCCGCTTTGTGTGTTAAAAAGCTGCATCTCACACTGGGCCTGCTGGGATACCACCACTAAGGGCGGATTAATCAGTAATGTGAGTTTTAAGCGAGGACTTAAATACGCCAGCCGCGTCGTGACCGGAGCAGCGGCGAGCCTTCGCCTTATTGTCATAGCGCTTTGCGTGCCGGTGGCAGGTAAATGACGTAGAGGGAGGAGGAAGGAGGGAGGAGTTGTTGCTGCAGGGCTCCTGGGCACTGTGGAGGGGGGTGAAGCCCGCAAACAGGGAAAACCGGCTATGGAGGCAGCTTTACTCATGTCCATCTCAGTGGTCTTGATTCGTGATGTGTGGGTGAAGATGTCCAGCTCGAAAGAAATCATAGTCGCATTGGTGTATTACATTTCCTTTTTTCTGGTACGACAAGAAATTCAGTGGACTTCTTTGCGCCCACTTAGCTCTTCGGTGGTGTATATTTCGCACAGGTTTTTTTTTCGTATAGTTTTATTGCGGACCACGCTAAAGCCATTGTAACAACGGAGTACACTTGCAGACAATTAAAAAAGAACTACTGTTGACGTGGCAGCGCATAGATATGGATGGTTAAGATTTTTACAAATTACCTTGAAATGCTGTAAATTGAAGGAGACTGACTTTTTAAACTGTGTTTACTCAAACAAACAGCTGAAATGTGTGAGGTACGTTTTGCAATGTTTAACACACCATGAAATAAGCTGATTTTTTCTAATATAAAGCATATTATGAATATGGAAAAAGTTTTCTAGTTATGCTTTAACTGCCTCATCAACCTCAGACCCCACTTCTAGAGGGAAAATGGCCTGCCATTAATGTGATCTGCAGAAAAGCACTTTATGTACTGGCGACCTGCATCGTTCTGCAGAAAAAATACTTCTATTTAATGGATGCAAACCCTCGTTATCTTTCCACACATTCACAGGCTCAATTACAGCGCTCACACAAATGCATGCACATACATTGTGGATGAGGTACAACACCACCACTGTTTTAATGGCTAAAGATTACAAAGGCTGTATTCCGGGCCTTCCAAACTCTCTTTTCAGTCTCCATAAAGAGGATTCACGGGTGTTATTTTGTTGGTTCATGCCTGCTGCAGTGATTGTGCCCTGTGCGTCTTTCAGCTGTATTAGTTGAGTGTAATAGAGTTTGAATCACACTCTCTTGTAAGTGTCTGGATTAAGCACATATAGGATTTACAAAGCCTTCTTCTATAACCCGTCTGCCCGCTGGGCTGCCTTGCATCCGTGTGTGAACTGTGCATTTAAAAGTGTGTGTGTGTGTGTGTGTGTGTGTGTGTGTGTGTGTCCGTGTGCGTGTGTGCGTGCATGCGTGTATGTATTTTACAGATGCATGCAAAGCATTTCCATTTTAGACGTTCATATTTTTCCTTACAGGAAAGAGCAGCATTAAAAGGGTGCATAGAAATTCAACAGTTGATGCTCTCCACAGGTCATTCCATTTCACGCCAGGGGTCGGTCTTGGGGATTTATTTCATGTCATTTTCACCGCAGAGCTCGGAGATTGAAAATGAAAAAAAGAAGCCAAAATCTGTGTTATTATGGAAAAGCGAAAGGACACTTCTGAGTCCCCAGAATTGTGTTGCTGTTTTGGATCATTCTGCACGAGTGTGTGCTTTGGGAATTGTCTTGCTGAACGTGGCAAATTCAGATGCACACGCCGATGGGAGCAGTGGAATAGTGAGCGTTCCCAAAGTGCCACTGGCAGTGTGAGAAGCTGCGAGCGCCTCTGAGCACAGTAGGTTTGAGATGAATTGTCCTTGCTGCCTGTTGGGAAGAAGCTGAGGAATATGAGGATTAGGGAAAGCCCACAGTTCAACTCACCAACTTTTTGCATACTTTTCTTGCTTGCAATTTGTTGTATAACTTTAAAATGGAAGTGTATGCTCATGTAGAAAACGATAGGTCTATGTGACTAATCTATTGCTGTCTATTGACAGACTTATCTACGGGCAACCAACTTTCTAAAAAAATCCAGATCTATAATGTTTGTGGTCTAATTCAACAGGTTGTTGCCCGCATGTGTTGCATCTCAAAGACTGTCTGATACATCCTCTTTTAAAGTCAGCCACAGAGCATTGGCATAAACACAGTGTTTACGTATTGTTTTTTTCAAAGACAAATGCTGGAACTGAGTCAATCCCACTCCTTTGAGAAGTGCCGATTTCTGCTGCCGTTGTTGCTTCATGTCAGCGCTGAGGCTCACCTCCGCGACGTTTAGGCAGATGAAAGAGACTCCTCTTGTCTTTCGTCCTCTCGCAGGGGCTCCTATGGCTGCGAAGTTGTTTGAATTTCAATAAGTCATTGTCCCGAAAGTACCCAATTTGGTCCTTTCCATCACTAAGCACTGAGGGACTTAAGCTTCTACAGTGAGAGGGAGATGAGCGTTGGGCAATAGGGATTCTCTCCTTTATAACATTCAAAAGAG